AAACTGCATTTGCAAAGTACACAGTCTATTTGCCTTTAGTAAATCCACCCTTGTGAGTTTAAGTCTCTCTTTCTCTCCTAAATTGATATCTTTCGCTCTGATTCCCCATTCTTGATTATGGTCTGCCTGACCATTTTTGCACACATTTTTTTTTTTTCTTTTATTTCTCAGTTGGGATTGTATCACATACTTGCAGTACAATACCACTTACAAAGCTGCCTTAAACTGAATACTTAACTGACATTTGTGTGGTACAAATTGGTTGTATTAAATGCAGAAATATGTATCTTTTTTCCAGTTCTAGAGTAATGATTTTGAATTAAAGTAGGTCATTTTATATTCCACAGCTAAAATAGGGTCTCTTAATGGTTAGTACATTTCTAAACAAGATTTAGCAGTTGGGGATATGTGAGAAAGCTGATTATGATTTCATAGTAACCGAGAAAGCTTTCAATATGCCACGTCCCGATAAATATAATAGAAAAGAGAAACTGCTCAAATAACTTACACGGTATATTATGGACTTTATGGGCAGATATGTTGACACTTCATTCAAAATCAGCAGTCATACTGTTTTATACAGTATGTTTTGTTTCCTTCTTTATTATGATTGGGACTAAAAAATAAAAGTAAATCAGAAATATTGCATGTGAATACTTAATATTTACCATTTCAAGCCTGCAGTTGGAGGTCTAGGCTTCTTTTTGCAAGTATACCAAGCTTATTGTTTCCTGCATTGCTGAGAAAAAAATAGTTTACTTAGCAGTTGGGGATATGTGAAAAGTTAAGTATGACTTCATTTTTACTGTTTTATATGTTTTGTTTCTTTCTTTATTTTCATCAGGACTATATAATAAAAGTAAATCAGAAATGTTGCATATGAATATTTCATATTTACCATTTCCAGCCAGTAGGTTGAGGTCTAGGCTTCTTTTCACAAATACACCAAGCTTATTGCTTGCTGCATTGCTGAGGAAAAACAATGTTTACTCAGAAGCTCAAGCTAGAATGTCATGGATAATCCCTTTATGAGTTGTTCATATGTAAAATTAAAATTGTAATAAAAATTAAAGAAAAAAACAATAACAATTTAAAAATGTATAAACTTTCAAAACGAAAAATGTAAACTATGCATTATTGGTATTACCTTATCAAACTATTAATTCTGACCATGGTATTTTTTCATTCTCAATTGTTTAGTCTTTGTAGTGGCAGTATATTATTATGTCACTAATGTGCTTATATAAAGTACTATGAAAAACTGTATATATTCTTGTTAAACAGTAAATTGGTGAAGCACTTTAAGGGTGGATGCTATGCTGAAATGTTGCTTATAGTATCAATATACAGTGTCCTTAACTATACAAATTCATATTTTAGATTTTAAAGCTTCAAATGCTTTCTCTCTTTCTTTCTTGGCCTTGAGCCCTTGTGGTATTCAACAAACACTCACTTGTGACCTATCATTCTAATGCCAGAATTCACAGTTTGCAATCAATAACAAGCTGCTTTTACCAAAATTCTTGCCTGGAGAGGTGAAACTGTAATCTGGCAGGGAACAGTTAAATCACATGAGAAAATGGTTTTATTATTATGTCTGATAATGTAGAACAAATTTATATTAGCACCTTTCTGTGAGTAGATACAAAGCATATGGGTCCCAAAGGATGGCTAGGTATAATTGTATTAAAGGTTTTTTTTGTTCCCATGAATACATTAACAGACTGTTTGAATCCATGCTAAAAGATTGCTCAAAAGAATATTCATATCCTATGAACCTCCATATGCTCTGTACTACAACGACGCATTAATCTCTGAACATACATGGGTAAATGGTCTACTGACTGAATATTGCCAATGAAGATCATTTTATTTATTTTTTTTATTTCTTACATTTTTATAGCACCAAGATGTAATTCTGTACAAACTTTATATGGATACATTACTTGGTGAGATGTAAACTCAGAAGCCAAAGCTGCAAGGCCAGGATGCTCTTCTTCATGTATTAGGTCAGATGGCTCAATTTATTCATAAAGTGGCTACTTGTGACCTGTTCATGTTTTGGATCCCTTTTCCACTAGTAAGAAGAAAATCAATGCGCTCATCTTTTGTTATAAGATTTACCACGTTGTACAGATTTGTTTTCTAGGCATAACAGTGTATGTATACCTTAACAATTACATTTTCTCACATTTGCTATGTTACTGTAAATGCACCACTAAAAGTATTTTGATACTGTATATAGTATCTGTTCAATGAACTGTTGATTGTGTCAAAAATTCAGATCTTTTGTTGTATCTGCAGGGTTGTAAATGGGATAAAACATTGGGAAATGTGTGTATATTGCAGAGAAGTACTCCAAATGTGTTTTATTTCCTTGATATGTACTCCAAAACTGAAATCATGTTTAGCGCCTAATCTTTACAAATTTAGTCTGCCACAAGCTGAGGATTTTTTTTAAACATCCAATGACAGAACTAGCAGATGCCAGCTGACAGGAGTGGCAGCTGCTAATGCTCTGACAGATACAGTAATCAGGAAACAATTAGTATGGTTTTCAATTATGTGATCACTATGATCAATGTGAGCAACCATCACAGTGATCACATGTCTTTGTTTAAAAAAAGCAAAGAACAGCTTTATGCTCATGTCGTCCTACTATTAACCTCCCTGATGGTATGATTATTTCAGATTTTTTTGGTGCTGAAAGCGGTACCATTATTTTGCATGGAAAGTTGGTGTTTTATATTGTAGGCCTGTAATTCTTAGGAATAACTCAATGAAATCTGTCCGAACAAGAGTCTAGTAAACATCCCGGGTAGGATAAAACTTGAAACATGAAATCATAAATTATAATTTAATAAATAATCATAAAAAATAATAATATAATAATAATACAGCGCTGAGCAAACCCTTTGGCGCTATATAAACTCGATGTAATAATAATAATAATACATTTAATTCAATAATATAATCAAACCAAAAACACTGAAATTTGAAATATAGCAATAAGTTCGCACATCACTGAGCAAAGTCGCAAAATCGTTTTCAGTGTCTGATGACGAATTTCCCCACGAATCATTATCACTCAATTCTGCAAGTAGTTCTAACTTACTATCACTGTTCTCTAGCTGGTCTAAAACTGCTTTTGACCTAAAGGGACGCTTTTTGGACGCCATGGACGTTTCTCAGTTTCCAGGTAGAAAGAACAGTAAAAATGCAGTCAGGGCACAGGACAAAGCACTCCGGACAAAATGTATGTGAAATGGTTTGCTACAGTAATGTTTTACTATGTGATTTTAGTGATTTTTGTGAATGTCACTTTTTGTCATTTTTGAATTTCCCGCCATTCTGTCCCCCGTACGTCCCGACGCTCACAGAGGACGGAACCCAGATGACAGATGCCGGCATCCGCAAGATTACATTGCCGGGGACACAGCAGGAGGGACATCATGGGAGCACAGGACAAGGTAAGTGATCGAGGGATCCCGGAGCAGCACCGCATGGTAAGCCCGAGTGTAGCTTGGGGTTACCGCTTGTGGTACTGAAACTTTACCCCGAGCTACACTCGGGAATACTGCCAGGGAGGGTAAAGTGATGTATAGGCTGTAAAAAGTGACATTATTTAAAAAAAAAAAAAAAAGGTTTTAAGCTTTTTAATTGTAAATTATAATTTATATGACTTCAACAACAATGTAAGATTCTTTAGTCAGGCAAGTTAGTCATAGCATTACAATCACATTAACCAACACATACAAAAGTCCTTCTTAAAGGAAGCCTACCATGAGGAAAATACAGGGGTTACCATGACTGGCCTTCTATAATGTGGGCAGTGCCCATGTGGGGATGGGGAGATAGTGCATGCTCATGCCATAAGTGGCTAACGAAGGCTTGTGCTGAAACACAGAACTGATGTTAAGGCGACACTCTCTACATAAAACTGGCATTATTCCACACAGACATTAATTAACTCCTTGTAATCTGTGGCCCTGAACTCTTTATACTCTGTACACTCTGGATAACAGTTCCCATTACACCTCTCTCTTCTGTGCAGCATTTCTGAGTTGCTGCCACAGAGCTTGCTGGACTCCACCAGCCCAGTTACCCATCACCTCATCCCAGTGACATTGATCTGTATGTTACACTTGAATACCAGTAAGCTTGACTCTGTACATAACCCATGCATATTCTCTTTGAGACCTCACTCCATCTTCTGTGACTTTCAGGCTGGGTCACTAGGATGCTCTGTGCCATGAGTCAGACCCAAATTGGGGTACTGGTCACTAGTGAAGAAGCCTAACCACACAAGCTAATTCACTACCAGGGCCTTCCATCACCTATGCCAAGTCACTTCCACTTCCCGACTGGCTGACTGCTTACGCACCTAGACACTAGTACTGTAGTAATTGGCAATGACTGTATAGCCTCCTCTAACTATCTCATTGCCGGTCAGACATGTACTGCATCTTTTCTTGATCTGTCTTATTCCCTGATGTAAACCATTTGTATTGTATGCTAAGCACGCATGCACCTTTTCAGGGTTGTCCTACAGTGACTTCAGACCAGGCAAAGTTATGTAACAACAACATTCTTTACTAAAAGTTGTTTAGATATGGCAGAATGTTACAGGCAATTTTTCATATGCATCTTTCCTAGTACAAAGTGCTTTCTCAGTGCCTATTTAGTGTTTTCCGGGTGCCCAAGGCCATTGAAGTGGTCATATCTTAAAAATAATTGAAAGTATTTAGAGCTCTTTCAGCCCTTAGAAGCGTAGCACAAATCTATATCCCTGGAATCCTGGCTGGGTTCCCACCAAGAGGTGGTTTCAGAGAAAGTTGCAATTACACCCTAGCTCAGCTCCTGTTCCCTTCCCATGCATAGAAAAGCAACCTTTTACCTAGAGGCAGTTCCCTTTTAACTGTTTTCCCTAGCAAAGGGGGGTACTTCCCAAAAAGCCTGGGAAAACCTAGCCAGCAGAGTTAAAGTGTTACTAAACGTAGGGCCCTGCATTCACTATATCCGGTCTCCCACAGTACACAGAACATGGAAGTGCAATTATTTTAGTAAATATAAACTGCTACATACATTTTCTCATCAGCAGTTAGAGAAATCTTCTGACTTCTATCAGTGTTCAACAGAGCACTGGTTAAAGCTTGTAGGAGGAGTTTTCTTTCTGCTTTAGGAGGATGCAAAAACCCTGACCTCTGTCTGGACAGTGCTGATTGGTCCTGTGCTGATCACATGCACTCTCCAAAGATAAAGAAAAAAAACGTCTCTAGCAATACACACTAAACTGAGCATGTGCAGAATGGCTACGGTTCAGTCTGTCTTATTAGGAGGTAAGATGACATTTGAACAAGAGGAGGAGCAGAGAAGTCAAGATCAAACAGCCTTTTTACACAATGCAGAAGATTAATCCCTTACGTTCTACAGCATGCTTTACTGCATCTACAGACTGGTTATACTGTTGTGGGTTTAGTACCACTTTAACCCTTGCTTCTCAGAACTTACCTGCTTTGCAGGGCAACATAACTAAACACTGCAATTAACCCACATTGCAATATACCATGAAACCAACAGAGCACAATAAAAATTAAAAAAAAACAAACAACACTGACAACATGACAATACCTTCTTAAGCACCATCTTACACTGAGATGCAATTGTGCTGAGCCACTGACCCTAATGCATTCTTTCTGAATCACTGAGATTAAATTAGTAGGTACATCAAGAGAATTTGGCATGTCAGTTATTATCTTCAATACCTGTCTGTGACCAGTAACTGATGAAGCATGAGGGTTAACATAACAGCCAAACAAAAATTTCAAAAGGAGAAATTAGCAATTGCAGCTTCTGTGTTTATCTCATGACAGGTTTCCTTTAATAGAAAAGATGAAACTTTGTTAATTAAAAAGTCCAATTTTAGGTTGAAAAAAGAGGCTACCCGATGTGTGCTGGGGGAATTCCTTGTATTGTATTTTATTGTACTGCCCTGTCCATGAACACCGTTCTATTACGACCATGCTTTTCATAGGGGCCTTGGTTTGGCAGTGTGGCTCCACATCTATTTGCAACTGTATGCAACAAAGACACCTATTTTTATTGTAATTTGTTAAAACAGATTAGACATTATTTCTTATTTTTGCTGCCTAGCTGGTAAGTATGCTGGGGATATTTTTGTTTTGTATTGTTCTGTGAATTGCCATGCTCATATGCACTTTATTTTAAAATTAGATATAAATAATGTGAGTTAACTTTTTACTAAACCCACAACAGTAAAATCAGTCTATGTATGCAGTAAAGCATGCTTGTTATACTCACTATGGAACCTAAAGGGTTAATCCTCAGCATTGTGTAAAAAGGCTGTTTGATCCTTTCTTCTCTGCCCCTCCTCTTGTTCAAATGTCCAAGGCTTATCTCCTAATATGACAGACTGAACCCATAGCCACATGCACATGCTCAGTTTAGAGTGTATTGCTAGAGAGGTTTTTTTTTCTTGGGAGTATGTATGTAATCAGCACAGGGCCAATTAGCACTGTCCAGAGAGAGGGTCAGGGGTTTTGCATCCTCCTAGAGCAGAAAGAAAACTCCTCCTACAAGCTTTAACCAGTGCTCTGCTGAAGTCACAAGACTGCTCTAACTGCTGATGAGAAAAGGTATTTAGCAGTTTATATTTACTACAATAATTGCATTTCATTGTTCTGTGTACTGTGGGAGACCAGACAAAGTGAATGCAGGGTCCTGGGTTTAGTTAAGGTTTAGTTACAGTTTAATAAAAAATCTCCAGCAGCAACATATATATATATATATATGTGTGTAAATATGCTTTTGTTTTGTAGAGTAAGTGAAGGCTGGACTTGTACTATTTTTATTTTCAGTGTCTCTTTAACCAAGGCCTAGTTAGCAGACAAAACCCGATTGTAGTTCAAATTCTTTTCTGCTGAAAGTTGGAGTCTTTTGCTTGACATACACTTCAAGATTGTATGTACTCTAGACGAGAAAAAAAAAAAAGCACAAAATGTAAATAAGCGATTTTTACTAAATTAAGTTACACAAAGCTGTTTACCAGATATAAGGCAAACAACATCAATATTTCTATTGTGTCCCCATAGGTCAGAGGAAAAACCTATTTTTGTTAGAAACCCAGGCATATCAATAAATAATGTCATGGTTCCAACAGTAAGTCTAGCTGGACTTTTCAGGTTGCATAGTCTCTGGTTGTTTCTTCACTGCATTACCCGACGATGCTTGTGACCTATAGGGTAATCAGAGATGAGTTATAACGGTGGCAACCGTTCCAAATGAGTTTTTGGAAAATAATCTGGGTGAAACACCTGTGATGATTCAGTCATTTTCTTGAAATACTGAAGTGAAATCCCTAAAATAAATGTTTTTATGGTCCAGAAACATCAACAAAATCCAGGCAAACAGCTAGATAATTTGTTGTATACGTGTGATGTTTCAATGCAGTGTGGAGCATGTAAACACAAGTGACATGCACGCAGTAAAAGGTCTGTGATTAACTTTATTTTGGCCTGTTGATTTGTTTGCATTTGTGTGCTAAAAACACAGGACAGTTTCAAAGAGCAGTTTCATTTCAGTGATAGGTTTTCCTAAGAGGAACCTGAGCAGGAAATATAATGCACACAGTTTGGGAAAATGAATAGATATGAATGAGTTTAGTGTAGTCCTTCTGCATCTGAAATCCAAACCTCTACATCTCTACTTCCTCTGACTCCTGACATTTTAATGCTACCAGCTTAGCCAGGGCCATGCCTTTGTATGATGGGGCCCTACAGAAAGACCCAAATGACCAAATTCACTTGTCCCTCAAAATACTGTCATTCAACTGCCCAGTCTTCTTTTGAGTTTTCCCATGATGCTTACACTCTTTGTTTCATGTACCTTTGAATTGCCTTTCTTTTCCTTTTTCTACTACTTACGCATAAAGAACAATTTGTACTCTTAGATTGTAATATTTTAAATAATACCGATGTAGTTTTCTTATTACATTATGTTCCACCAGCAATGGCCATCCTATGAGAAAACAGCCACAGGCTGCCTAGCAAGTGATCTGTCCTTCACAAGGCAATCTCACCCTTTTGTATCTCTTACTCATTACTTCTGACCAAAGCGCAATAAAGCTATATAAAACTCTTACACAACATCAACTAATCTCTACAGCCCAAATGGCTGGTGTCATATCTTAACATATGTGCAGCACAATGGCAACTTCAGATCTAAAAGGAGGCTGACCGTCTTTGGCTGCAACAGGACAGAAGGGTTGTAGAGATGGTGTTGGGGGGGCAGACTGGGTCATCGACAACCTAAAGGGCCCCTATCTACAGAGTGGAAGCAGATGCCTGGAAAAAGGACTAAGTAGTGGTGGCTTTCAATAAAATATGAGTGATCCAAGTATAATACACACTTTAGTCCTGTTGCTGTGTTGATCGCCCATGCTGGCCCAGTCACTTACAAAAAGTAAATTTCTGATAATACATTTATTGAGGGCTTGGGTCATCTAGTGATGTCAGAGAGATGAATTGTCAGGGCCAGCACCATAAATCTCTTCTTTGTGGTAGTGGGGGTGGCATTTCTTGAAGGTGAGGGAGTGGCTGAAGTGGATAGATGTGCAGCTGGTGGCAGACCATTCAAAATAGGCAGGGTAAGCTGTAACGCTGTGGTTGTGGACTAGCCTTTGGAGGCATCTGCCCCCAGGCCAGCCTCCAGAGTTATTCCATTATTAGGTCATTGTATTTAGTAGGGTCCACTCACACAGATGCTTCACAGTATTGTGTGTGGTAAAACATGCCTCTTATCAAATTCTTTGGTGTGTCTACTTTCCAAAAAGAAGTCATTTGGGGGGATGTTTGTACTATCCTGGTATTTTTGGGCCTCCAAAACTGTGATAGGTAGTGAGGAAGTGACATAAGGAAATATGCGCTTTGAAACCCTGAAGGTGCTCATTGTATTTTTTGAGGCCTGTAGGCTGCCAAAAAGTCTCTCACATGTGGTATCCCCATACTCGGGAAAAGTAGCAGAATGTGTTTTTGGGTGTTATTCCACATATACCCATGGCATGTGTGAGCAATATCATTTAAGTGACAACTATGCGTAACAACAAAGAAAAAAAATGTTATGCCATTTTCCAAAATGTTTTGCAAAAAATAAAATCTTCTGTGTCCTCAACATGCCTCTCAGCAAATTCCTTGGGGTGTCATCTTTGCAAAAAGTGGTCATTTGGGGGTTTTGTACTGCCCTGGCATTTTAGCACTTCAAGAAATGTGATCAGCAGTCAGAAAGTAAAAGCTGTGTAAATTGCAATATATATAACATTGTATATGCTCAAACTTTCACACAAACCAATAAATATACATGTATTGGGATTTTTTTTTACTAAAGACAAGTCGCAGAATACATTTTGGCCTAAATTTATGACTAAATTTGAGTTTATTGGATTTCTTTTATAACAGAAAGTCGTTTTTTTTCATTTATTTAAAAAAATTAAAAAATCCCAGTGGTGATCAAATACCACCAAAAGAATGCTCTATTTGTGTGAAAAAAAGGACATGCGTTGCGGCTGGAGGCCTAGGAGGAACATTAAGGTTAAGGTTCCACAGGGGGAGATCAATATTGTTTTGGGTTCCTGCCTAGACCAACAACTCATTTTGTAGGTTTATGGAGGTTTATGTTTTAAGGAATGTTTTTCTCTGTATTTAAGTTAAATTGTTAATAAAAGGCCGTGAAGGCCATTTTACTCAAATAATGGTGGTGGGAGTGTTGGGAAAATGGGTTTTTTTTCGTAAGTTGGGTATGTTTTGGGGTGTTAGCATTTGCCAACACATCTCTTCTACACTAGTCATGTAAGGAACAGATTGCACCCTCCCACTACCACCTTTGATGCCAATGTTATATATCGTTTGCTAACATACACTATCCCCACTGAAACCAATGAAAACAACAGTTTTTCACTCACAGACACAAACAAAAGTGAAAGTTTACAAACACCTGGATATTCTTCCTCTCTCTAATCATGCATGTGCAGGTGTCCCTCCCTCTGTTCACCGACCAGTTGGACAATTCTCCTGACAACTGACACAGGAGCATATTTTCTCTCAAAGACAACCGATGGGGTGGAAATATTCCTTCCACTGTTCTTCCTCTTACTTACAGCAGACATTGAAGCATTTTTCCTTCCATTGCTAACCAACACTATGGTGTTTTTCCTTGCATTGACGCAAGGGCATTCTTTCTGCCATTGACAATTGATGCTGAGGTATTTATCCTCCCGCTGACTATTGATGCTGAGGGATTATTTCTCCCACTGACAAATAACCTTGGGGCATT